AGTCCAGGCGGTTGGGCAGGCAGCAGCATTTCGCATGAAACGGAATTCGAGCGTCTTTTGGATGCACGGAGAATTTAGCAAATTCGATCAGTAAGTGGTATCCCACGTGGAACGACGCCACTCAACATTTCACGATTTATCGTTGGCGACGTCGAGGAGAGAACGACAATCACCGACCACAACGCTCATGTGCTTGAACAATGCGTGCCAAACGACTTGTTGGACCATCTGGTTTCCTATGTACTTTGTCTAGAATCCCGTCCCACAAGTTCCACTGGGTTTCCGACGGCCGGTAGTATGGTCAGGTTAGAGGGAGCATATCATATAAGGTGACCAAAAGGAGTGCTCTAGGTTGGAACGGACGAGACCGAATGACCAAATCAGTCAGGTGAAATAAGGATGAAGGCGATCATCCGACAAAAAATTTGGATTATTGTGATACTACTCACAAGCGACCATAACGCGAAGGCTTGTTTAGGCACGAGAAGGAGTCGAGGAGAGCAGTGTAAAGCATAAATATTGATAGCAAATGTGACACCCATGACTGGGACGGCCAAACGAGATGAATGCGATAAAATTTGAATTTAATTTGCAGATGAGTGTATGGGTGGAGTTATGAACAAAATAGGACTCGTAAGGCAGCTGTGCAGGCAATAGTCGTGCGTCAGAAAAGGAGAGATGGTTGGCAGTCCCCTGCACAAGGTCGGATCGGGTCAATCGACCCCCACTCTCCCGAGGCATGCAACGCCCCCTACTCCTGGGGCGGCCTTTTCCCTCTCCTCTCCCACATATCGCATTGCAGCAGGAATCCGGTACAGCTAAACGGTCCACAAGTAGGACCTATTTGCAGGAACATACATCCAACTTCCCTACTCCAAGCAACCGACCCATCCTATGCCTTATCGACCTGATTCGATAAAGCACTAGCATGAAGAGTTAGATGGAAACGTCTTAAGACTATTGAATCGTTACTAACCGGACCACGTGCAATATGCCCACTACGTTTATCACACCTACGTCGTATTACTTACGAAAACTAGATGATTTCAACGAGAATTTCGAAGGTGTCCTTGTAGTGTCTGTATACCGTTGTCACATTTATCATTCTTCCTGAAATTAAACCACACATTGTAACTGTCGTTCACATTGTATCATGACGTTTGTTTTAATTTGACGAATACACAATTTTCCGGCGCGACCTGCGGACTTCTTGCTGAACGAGTGCATTTACGCTCCATTGAACTGTTTGTTGACCGCTGAACCAGTGGGACTAAATCTGTGTTTGTGTCAACTGTTGAACGTCACAATAAATCCCTGTAACATTTTTTAGCCGTGAATAATTTTCCTACCGTGGAATATATCACTCAGGCGGAACCATCTGTGGGAAATTTCGATAAGTGAATATTTCCTTTCACAGCCAGTTACTGCATTTGGATCGGTGTAGTGGACTATTGGACCTATACATTTGTGAGTCCCCATTTGACTACTCATTCTTTTCCTATTGTTATTTTGTGATTTTGTATTGGTTGGTTTTGCTTGTTAATTTATCCGAACACGCTGATAAGGTCCTAGTCCGCTACACTCTCTAGGGATAGGGTGACCTGAGTTTGGTGTCGTTAAAAGTGAAATAGCTTTCGTCTGTGTTCCACGCATCGCCAAATGAGAGGTCCGGCTCACACAGTTCTTTGCATCGGCCTGTTGTTTCAGCGAATAGTTTATTCGCTTCGTCGCGAAACAGTTGACCGCAGAAGTTCCAACGACATTCGAACCGACGATAGGATGATAAATCGGTGGCTCACTGTACCTCTAAGCTCTATCGTAGGAATCACAGCGCCTCTGGAATTGGCAAGAGCAACGACGATTTATAAGTATCAGCAGTTGGGTTCTCGTATTTGCTCCAGCCGATTGTAAAAGTTTGTGAATAAAACTGAGCTCATTTCTTCCACACGCACGCCGTGGTTGCTTGTATCAATGGGATCGCTGTTCCCTGCCTCAGCGGTCGATTCCATATCCGTCGGTATTAACACATCGTGGATATCGTACTTGAGAAGTGCAGGAGTCCAATCAACCACAAATCAACAAGCAGACGTATACACGTCCACAAATATCGAGTAAAATAGGTCACATGAGTGAAAACTTTAAAGACACGAAGGTCTCAATTCACCTTTGAGCGTGAATGCTATCTAACTCACCATTCGTATCCACAGTCTATCGCCTGTGAAAACAGAATACTGAACAAGAAAACTAGCAACATAAATCCGCTCGCTTACAATCTCATAAACCAAAATGAATAAAGGGGAAATATTAGATCAAACAAGTTTGCCACTTGGACATGCAATTACCCTTTTAGAGGGGTTGCCGGTCTCGTCGGACTGTGAGTAATGTTCCTTGTTTAGCTCAACGAGATATCCCTAACTCTCATTAGAATCTCAATGACAACCTTTTCTTGGATTCACAAAGTCCCTGAATATATGATATTCTTGCTGGGAGATTCTACCGTACTCGAAAATAAACCTGATAGTCACAAATCAACACCAAGCGATTACCACAAGAGCGCATAATCTTAATTTGGCAGGTTCTATCAGGTAACCGATTCACCCATCACGTGACCGCTAAGCACGAGCATTTTAATTCCTGGAGGGGGCAGTTTTTCAACTAAATTCGGAAATATATGACCGTGTTGTGCGCCAGTTGTCAGAAATTACTACCCTCTGATTCAAAAAATGAGCTACGGAGGCGAAACTCGAGCTTTTTCCCCTCAGTTAGGACGATATTTTATGTATCGCAATAGTCCACAGCACACTACGCATAAGGTCACTGAAAAAACTCGACAGGCTACAGTTGGCTTCACTCTGCTTGGGACTCATCAGCCAGACATTCTTCGGGTTTCCGTCAGCCTTGTGTTATACTTGACTTCAAATTTCACGAAAACCGAAAAATAGGTTACTGGTCATGCACGATCATTCTCAATGGACCGGAGTCGCGATGGAGGCAGGGGTGCTTGTTCTGTACAGGAAGCGTTGTGCCAATATTTCTTGTGCTTACGTGTCTGTCGAAAATGTCATAAGTCTCGTATAGAGGAGAATGTTGTAGTAGCTCAGGTAGTGCAGGTGGTCGTTGGTTTGTCCGCTGAGTCATCAATCGAGGTGATATCATCCGTGCGTTGTTAGCGAGCGTAGGGACGGGCTGGTGGTTGTGCACAACCTCCGTTTGCAATCAGATTGCCCAGCTCAGCGAACAAACCAACGACCATAAGCTTTATATGGCACGAACTCACATGTACGCCCGGTATTACATAATCCTGTTGGATACAAACGTTTTTACGTTCCACAGGAAAACACTGACTTCGAAGGTTCCTGCCAGACTACATACTGGTGAGTTGTGTTAGGCGTTAAGTCTACACTACTGTTAGATCAATCAGTAGTTAGTCTAGGCACAATAGCGAGGGATCAATGTCCCGCGAGTCATCCCAAGACCTGCAACGTCCCGCTTGTTCACATTACACTTAGACCGCATTTGCTTCAAAATCATCCAAGGCTCATTTGAGCACGGGGACTTCCTCTGATGTTTTCAATCTTTTCGCGGAAGGACGACTCCGACACGGCTGAATAGGACTAGTGTCTGTCCGAAATACACCCAAGTGTCTGGTCGTCAAACGATCTTAGTAGTTTTGTTGAGATTGTCTTGAACTCTAAGAGGATTTGTTCAGACGGGCTGTTCGTATTTCTTGACGGACGCAAATCGCTCATGAGATTCTGCTAGGATCTCTCTATTGCCCACTGCATAGTAGTAGTAGTTTGCAACACCTAACGTCATTCAGTTATGGACCAGGGTCACTTCTCCTCGACGTTGTTCAGTTTAGAAGGTCCAGCTTAATGTGAAAACAACACTGGATCCCATTCACGTCTTGTTGCAAAATTGTTAAAACGAACACCACTTGCCTTAAACACGAGAAAACACAAACTGACATTCAGCATTGTCAAAGCTTGGGCCTCATCCTCCTTTCAAAACGCATAGATTATCTCAGGGAGGAGATTACCCAGATAAGGAACCACTGTTTCTGCCCGCAGTGCCTTCGCTTTCAAACCCCTCCATGATTTCTTCCCATTTTTTTCCCGTTCACAAGATGATTGGTAACGCGAAGGTAAAAATGGAAGATGTGAATGGACACAGAGAACAAGCGCAAGAATTAAAATATGAGAACCTGCCAGCTAGGAGCTTAGGCCTCAGATCTGCTGTACCTCAAGCTCAAAATTAGAATAACTAATTGTGTGCGACATGGACGATGTGTATCAAGACTGAATGTACAGTATCTCTCCCTCTCATCACAAAAAATCGGCCTCTGTGAAGCTGGTTCGGGAGTCAGACACCACTTTTGGTCCCCAGAAAGATTTGAAGCCGAACATAACGAAACGCACAGTACTCGAACTTGCAAATCAACTGCTTTTTATTTCGTACGGTCACCTACCAGTTGGCAGTGATATCACCAGGCTTCAGGTGAGTGCGACTGACAGCAGATCAACGCTGCATGGTAAATAGTGTTTAAAACTACCCTAACGTGGATTCAGGGATAAGCGAATAGAGCTAAGGATCTCTAGCATTAACCTGGCTAGGGTCCTGTCCGATGGAACCTGGCAACCGAGCGGTCTACACTGCTTGGACCCGGTACCAGTGCGAAGAATCGATTAGTAAAACCGCATGACTACCACTTATTGGATTCATAGTTGTAGAAAGGTTAGAAGTAAATGCATGGGTCGGGGGTCAACAAACTAGATGAACTTGCCTGAAAGAACGTGCATTGTAGTGAAGTCGAGCTAGGTTGGTTGATAAGGGCAGCAACCATTAAAGGTTTGGAAAACTTAAGAGATCACAGGGTTGGTGAACCTCCAAACAATTTCGAAGCGATAAATGGCGACCAACATTGAAGTTCATGAGTTACTCGATGAGCGCAAGCTCCCAGTAATTATTTTCAGCTTTTCGTGAAGCACAAAAACGCCATAGACAGGTCGATAAGTTTACTGTAGTAAGAACAAACGTATATAAAAACAGATCTGGATGGAAATGCATCGTATGGCATTCAAATGAGCCAGACATCATCCGGAGTCAACATCACGCGATTCTCCGCGTGCATCGCCTCCAGACCAGCACGAATCTCTGCTTGGTTGAATCCAGTACCTTGCTGAATAATGGTCGACGTCAGCTGTAAAAGAGAAGGCATGTGATGCAACATGAAGCAGGCCTTGGTAGACCACTGTACGCATGATGTAGGCGTAGTCAAAACTGGCCAATACAGTAATCTCGATATGAATGTACATCATTCAAGATTCTCACCTCGAAGTTATGTATCGAAATTACCATTCTTTACATTACTATTTGGCTCCGACTGACATGTAAAAGCTTTGCTGAGAGTATCCAGTGGGTTTTCACTTTGTGGAACGATGCGTCGGACTGAATAAAACTATGAGTAGCCCACGAAAAAAGTTCTTAGTACCTTCTCTAAACGAATGATGCTAGTAATTACAAGTGAAAGATGTGGTTGTGTGTTATCAATGGAGGGCAACAGCCTTTATACCTTGCTACCTATGAAAACAGGTTTAATTAAGCTCACCTCTCCTATCGGAAGCTGCTCAACACGACGTTCTTGGAACAAACGACTGACAAGAGTAGACAGTTGACGGAGTCTGTCCGACGATAAAGCACCGCTCGTTGTAGGTTGCGTGGCAGTTGTTGATGGTTCAGGTTCATCGGCAAAGGCGTACGGGTCGTCAGAATCCACAGCGGAAGTCTTTGTGACTCTGAACGTGTGAAGATAAACATACCAACTTAAAATACGTGAATAATACTGTTACTAGTGATCAAGCTCTAAACTACACAAGTGCTTAATAATGTGTCACCAAGCCTGACCAGGTCCATATACCCAATAACACCAGTGAGTTACTTCAAGCTTCCAAACTTACTTGCGTTTGGCAGGTCGTGATTCCACAGTAACTTCACCTTCGTCTTCGGACTCGCCGTCTTCAGCAGCATTTCGATCTCGCTTTCGGCGTTTCTCAAGCACTTCCTACAAAAGTCACAGAAACGAGCATATATTAGTGTCCTACAAAAAGAGATAAACGACTACGATTGAAGCCAATCGATCATTTAAAACCAGTGTGTTACAATATGATGATAGAAAAGTAGCACTTCGCAATCAATTGCTATTCACGGTATTACCGCCTCCGGAAGAACATTTTACCTAATACTCAATGCAGTGAAGCATCAGTGTCAACATTGATGTTGCTGTCTTTGATGATGATGATGCAATGCAAATATACACTGACCTTGAAAAGCACGAACGATAAAATCTGCACCGCAGCTTCCGCATCCTTTTTGGTTACCGTTTTTGACATTCGAGCTTTGGCATGGGCAGTAGCCAGACGGATCAGAGTTTCCAAGCTTCGGGCAGTAATTGGCTGTGTTCGCCGCATACGCGACTGGTCGACCCCACCGAAACGACCATCTGAGACAGCACCCTCCTGTGATCTCAAGTCACAATACTTCTCTGCCAAGATGGAGGCAGCTTCCTGAGTTAATTGGGGTTTGAGTTGACGAGCCACATGGATGTATTTCTGTAAGAATTTGATCGTCAATTTGTCGCTTGAAAGATACGGAGAACGGAGATGGTGGGGGGGGGGGGGAGAAGGGGGTTGCATGCTTGTGAGTGTCACGACAATTTAGTCGGGGGGGGGGGGGGGGGGGGGGGGGGAAGAAGGACAGCGTTGCAAACAGTTTAACGAGCATTTGCACAGGAAAGCAGAGCGAATGAAAACAAATAAAATGTGAACTATGGATGCGACTGACTTAAACACGAAAAGGAAATGGCCAGAACCCACTGAAGTGTAGAGAAAGGCAAGGGATGGGAATTATCACCCATAATATGGGTCTTGGAGATGAGCCACACGGTTCTGATTAAGAGATGTCACCTAGGTGAATAGCGAAGATGGGATGAGACTCACCTTCCTCTTCCTCGCCCGGGCTGCAGTAGGTCATTGTGAGGCTCGTAAACTTGATCCTCATCTCTTTGACGAGTGCCACTGTCATCTTCATCGGCCTCATCCTGCGCAGCGGCTGACAAAGGATCAGTACCAGTGGACAGAAGACGAGCCATGTTCTGAAGCGGCAAAGCTTCACCTTCCTGTTCTCTTGGACCACGATACCGGTGCATGCGGAGAACGTGCTCAGCAATAGCCCGATCTGTCTCAGGATCGGCTTTATCCAAAATGATGAACAGCAAATCGAAGCGAGACAAAAGGGAGTCCTGAAGAATGAGAATGAGCGATGGTAGTACTTGTGATTGAAACAATTCATAGATGATAAGTGGTTGTTCACATAACCCGAGCAACGTCCGAGCTCAAATAGATAAAGCCGTTAATTTAAACAACCTGTTTGTCTGAGCTAACCAACCAGTCTTTGGACGCCTTCCGCCTTGCCATAAAAACCATGCAACCTCCAAAACCAAAGCAAAAGTACGGAGCACGAAAATGGTAAAAGCTGGCGGTTCACTAGTTGGTGTTACATAATTCTGAAGCTGCTGGTGGTCATGTTAATGGGTCAGTAGTAAATATATGATCACATGGTTCGCGGCGTTAGTGATGCACATGCTCTCTTTCGTGGGAATCTCCACCAAAAGAAGAGGAGTCAGGTTTTTAGTGATAAACACCAACATCCAAATTAATGTGAAGTTATGGAGAGACACAAATGGATCACCTCTACAGCATCCCCGTTACCTATTTGCCACAAATGAATAAGCACAATGTTAGTTTTACGTATTTATCAAGATTATATTTGTTCAACTCCCAACCCGAGCAAATTTTCCACCGAGAGCACCTTCAACATCTATTTTATTGAGGTACGGTGGAAGCCTTCATTTGATAGGGGAGCCTAGGACTAACGTTTTGCCGATTCCCACTTATCTCGACAAATCTCGCCGACGATCCTAGCAGAACGCCAGCCAGGCACATTGTCCGATGACAGCGTTATGCGAACATCACAGAGACCTCCACATAACCAATCATACCACACCACCCATACTAAGAAACCGTGCAGTAGTGACTGAAAGCTCACAGACTGTAATGTCCTAGTCTAAGCAAAACATATCTTTGGGCGCGGTGGTTCCCATCCGAAAGGAAATAATTCCTTTAGCTCATTGAGATGCCCCAGGACAGGCTAAGCCAACACAGTCGAACTCATATAACAGTGTCCTGTAGCGACGATGAAAATACAATCAACTAAGATTATCGACATGCAACTAACACTTTGCATGCTTTTTTTTCCACATGGGCGTCTACCACAAGGTTGCAAGCTTTTTACAGAGGGAATTCCCTCCGTGGGCTGTAAAAACATCACGAAATCCTTTGTGTGGACGACCTTCACATACAGACATATAGGTGAAGCTGTATGAATGTGTACTGCGCAGCTAAGCTGACTGATGTCTGGACAGACCGCGAAATGAATTTGAGGTGTGGTGCAGCAGACGTTAATTTCACACCGAACACTCCAAGCAATTTGGACTGAGTTGAGAGGTCAAACAATTGTAGGCCAAGCTATGATCCAAGAATACCGAGTCTTCATTCATTCAAAATTTATTAGGAAAAGCCCTAAAGATAGATTCAATCGCCATCGTCAAACTACACCCAAACAAATGGACAAGTGAAAGTCCAGGCGGTTGGGCAGGCAGCAGCATTTCGCATGAAACGGAATTCGAGCGTCTTTTGGATGCACGGAGAATTTAGCAAATTCGATCAGTAAGTAGTATCCCACGTGGAACGACGCCACTCAACATTTCACGATTTATCGTTGGCGACGTCGAGGAGAGAACGACAATCACCGACCACAACGCTCATGTGCTTGAACAATGCGTGCCAAACGACTTGTTGGACCATCTGGTTTCCTATGTACTTTGTCTAGAATCCCGTCCCACAAGTTCCACTGGGTTTCCGACGGCCGGTAGTATGGTCAGGTTAGAGGGAGCATATCATATAAGGTGACCAAAAGGAGTGCTCTAGGTTGGAACAGACGAGACCGAATGACCAAATCAGTCAGGTGAAATAAGGATGAAGGCGATCATCCGACAAAAAATTTGGATTATTATGATACTACTCACAAGCGACCATAACGCGAAGGCTTGTTTAGGCACGAGAAGGAGTCGAGGAGAGCAGTGTAAAGCATAAATATTGATAGCAAATGTGACACCCATGACTGGGACGGCCAAACGAGATGAATGCGATAAAATTTGAATTTAATTTGCAGATGAGTGTATGGGTGGAGTTATGAACAAAATAGGACTCGTAAGGCAGCTGTGCAGGCAATAGTCGTGCGTCAGAAAAGGAGAGATGGTTGGCAGTCCCCTGCACAAGGTCGGATCGGGTCAATCGACCCCCACTCTCCCGAGGCATGCAACGCCCCCTACTCCTGGGGCGGCCTTTTTCCCTCTCCTCTCCCACATATCGCATTGCAACAGGAATCCGGTACAGCTAAACGGTCCACAAGTAGGACCTATTTGCAGGAACATACATCCAACTTCCCTACTCCAAGCACCCGACCCATCCTATGCCTTATCGACCTGATTTGATGAAGCATAGAAAAAGTACTTAGAGCACAGTGTTAGTATTTGTTATCGTTTCGAGACTATCGAACCGTCACTAACCGGACCACGTGCAATATACCAACTACGTTTGTCGCACCTATGTCGCATTATTTCCGAAAACTTTCTAACTTCAACCAGTGTTGTGAAGGGAGACGGCGACCTGAGTTTGGTGTCGTTAAAAGTGAAATCGCTTTCGCCTGTGTTCCACACATCGCCAAATGAGAGAGGTCCGGCTAACATGGTTGCAGCAGTCGTTCTTTACAGCGGCCTGTTGTTTCAGCTAATGGCTCATTTGTTTCGCCGCGTAACACTTGACCACAGAAGTTCAAGGAGATTCGAACCGTCGATAGGACGATAGATCGTCTAAGCATCATCGCAGGAATCACAGAGCTTTTGGAATTGGCAAGAGCAAGAACGACTTATAAGTCTCGGCAGTTGGGTTGTCGTGTTTGTTCCAGCCGATTGTAAACATTCGTGCATCATCTACAGCATGACATCGGTGTTCAACAGCGATGGTTGCCGTACACCTATGATTTATTTGGATGCCTTATTGTGAAGAAGAAAATAAAGGTCAACGAGGAAGGGACTTGGTGTTAGCTTACTACAATCATTCCGAAGTGCCTACACCTCCAGACACTCAGGCATTCTGGATGACAACTGACAACCAGATCGCCACTGGCATCGGTTGGCAGCCATATCTTGCAGCGTCTCAAACCAGGCGCAGTGGGGATAACGCGGTCCCTATCCTGGAAGGCGAGTAGCACCGACAACAAGCAAACGTTTCGTGATTTCTTTTATACCCCGCTGCCAGGTAAAGGATTGGCTACCTCCCTGCTTCCACCACTCTGAATTGGGCATGGAAAACAGCGCTCTCTTCGGCAAACGACGGTTAGGCATATGCAACGCATGTCCCAACCAACGCAGCTCCTGGTGATGGACACAGCCCTCAATGGAATTACCCGTTGCACAACCGAAAACTCGCTTTCCAATCAATCGCCTCGTTACTGATTGGCCGATACCAACTCGCACGAGCTATGGTTCTGAGACGACTGTCAAACACCTGAAGACGTCTCAGTTCCGTTGCTCGAACAGGCCAAGTCCCACAACCATACAACAAAACAGTACAACAGTCCCTTGAGATTCAGTGATATACCACTTTGACGCCATAGGTGTCTCAAATTACCAAACGCTACACGTGCCCTCCAGATTCGTGCATTGACCTCATCCGTCACACTATAATCAGAACCAATACAACTTCCAAGATACGTAAAACGCTCCACAACTTTCAGTGCCTCTCCTTGGATTGCAAGTGGTGTGTTAAGTGACTGCATATCCAGGAGCATCACCTTACACTTTGTGGGTGCAGAGTACATACCAAAGGACGGGATGACTTTGGCCAGTTCGTCTCAGATGGACAAGGTTTTCGCCATAGGTTATTTGAACCCCAGGGTTTTGAAGACAATCCAGCGTTCGTCTCATGATTTCATCGTTCAAGAAGTTAAACAGGAAAGGGGCATCCCACTTTGCGTACGGAAGCTTCCGGACAGCTCGCCATATACTCTCACAGGTCAGGAAGTCTAAGAGTACAAAGAGCTTATTATGTTCACGAACTTCCGGGGCATTTTTTGGTGGGCGATCGTGTCAAGCAAAATAGCCCGGTCAACCGAGTCGAATGCGCCTCGGAAATCCAGGAATACTAGAATTTGGGTTCCTTATACGTATGGCGTTGTTCTAGCACCTGACGCAGTGTGAAGATTTGGTGAACACAACCCCTACCAGGCCGAAATCCCACTTGCTGCTCTCGAGTCAGTATCTCACGAGCCACCATAGGGCGACGAAGCACTAGGGACGCCAACAGTCTCGTTACAACCGGGGTCAACCTGATCCCCCCGTGGTTGCCACACTCATTACAAGCCCGTTTTTTCAAAATGGGCACTATAATCGACGCTCCCAGTTGTCTGGGGCAGACTCCTCTTCCAAAATGCAAGCAAACAGATCGGACAAGCGCTGACTGAGGGCTTCACCCCATCTCTGACCAATGCGGGTGGCGCTTAAGAGAACATATGCAGTCATAAGCCTGAGGCCGTAGGCGGTTCCACGTTCACCGTCCAGGGTTCTGATATCCAGTGCTCGAGTGAGTCTGGTGGTGCCGTGCCACAGGAAAAATCCGCAGGACTATGCAGAGGTTGCAATCTCGTCCTAGTATGAGTTCACATCTGACGGTGGAGCATTTGGAAGAGACTCTAGAAGGCGATTTGGTAAGTTCGTCTAACATCCGGATCTGCCAGTCTTTCAGTTGCCAAGCGATTTGTCCGCACCTTACGCGGTCCTGTAAAACGAAGGGAGAAGCGACTTCGCACGAGCGCTGGTCGGAATCCACAAATTTGTTCCAAAACGATAGGCAGTCAGTTATTGACCCGCGCCATCGGTAACTGATGGCGATGTGGTCGATTTGAGTTTGTGGGGGACCTGCCGTTGGAGGACACAAAGTGGCCGGGAGACTTCGGCTATTTCGGAAGTTAGTATTGCATAAAATCAGCCTGCGATTAGCATATAGCTGAAGCGATCGTTCCCCGTTGTCCGTACATAACGAGTCCAATCCATGTTGACCTCCTAAGTGAGTCTCAGATGCGCTGAGTCTGTCCACTTCTGCATTGATATTTTAGGCTTTCCATTCCCCATCCATCTTTATTCTTTCTTTACAATAAGGCTTTCAAATAAATCATGGTCGTACGCCATGGACGCATCGGTGTTGAACAATGATGTCATGCTGTTGATGATGATGAGCTTTCAGCTTGCCACAGCAAGGCATTCAGAGTGCATCCGTGAATAAGAATGAGCCCATTTCTACCCCACATACGCCGTGACTGCTTGTATCAATGGAGTCGCTGTTCCCTGCCTCAGCGGTCGATTCCATATCCGTCGGTATTAACACATCGTGGATATCGTACTTGAGAAGTGCAGGAGTCCAGACCTCAATCACAAATAAACAAGCAGGCGTATACAAGTCTACAAACATCGAGTCAAAATAGGTCACATGAGTGAAAACTTTGGAGACGCGAAGGTCTCAATTCACCTTTGAGCGTGAATGCTATCCAACTCATCATCCATATCAACAGTCTATCGCCTGTCAAAACAGAATAATGAACAAGAAAACTAGCAAGCTTAATACGCTCACCTACAACCTCATAAACCAAAATATTAGGTCTAACGAGTTCGTCACTTGGACACGTAACGCGCCTTTTAAAGGGGTCTCCGGTCTCGTCGGACTGTGTGTAATGTTCCTTGTTTAGTTCAACCAGATATTTCTAATTCTCATTAGAATTTCAATGACAACCTTTCCATGGATTCACAAAGTCCTCAAACATACGATATTTCTTGCTGAGAGACCGTACTTGATTATAGAGCGGAATCTAATAGAATCGGGTGAAATCTGGAACATAAACCGGAACGTAACAGATCTGAGAGCCATGAAAGAACCGATTAATGTAACTCTAAGCCCGCTTTTAATTTCGTCACATGAATTCATGTTAAGCATTATTAGGCGCAAATTCTGACTCCAAATCCATTCGTATAAAGCCTCTGTCCTGTAGGATTATTCCCAATCTGAAGGTATTCTGAACGAACCAATGATCGTTTAGTGAAACAATAAACTCCCATAACACGGCAACCTACCTGCAGTCCGATATTTTCCATGGGGGTTTTGTATTGATCATAGTTGCCGTAGACAGGGTTAGCCGCAGCCAGGACGGAACACCGTGCATTCAGTTTGGCCTGAATACCAGCCTTGGCTATGGTGACACGTCCCTGTTCCATCACCTCGTGAATGGCAGTTCGGTCGATGTCGGACATTTTGTCAAACTCATCAATGCAAACGATTCCCCGATCAGCCAGAACCATGGCACCAGCCTCCAAGTGGCGTTCACCTGAAACAAATCCGACAAGTCGTTCAGCCCTGCACATACACAACTGGACGAACTGTGCGGAATTTCCCGCATATTTTTACATTTTCTGCGAGGTCATTAACCAACTGGAGTAGCCACACAATGTAAGGTGAAATAATAATAGTAAAGGAGTGCACTAAAATGGAAAACAGTGGATGAGCGCTTTTCATTTTCTGGATGAATGAAGGTATTCGGCTGCGGAGGTGCGAGTCAATAGCGGATATTGATAAAGATACCTATGAGCATGTGTCCTTAAGTCTAAAGGGTTGAATGTTTCGGAAACGATCTCGCATTTTTTTCTCTATACACTAAATAAAGACGATCTTAAATGGACACCCACAAAAGACGAGACCAGATGAAATGAAAATTCAACCAAGTCTCCGAGCTTTACAATCACGCAGTACACAAAGCTGAAGGTCTACAGGTGTTATCCACTTTTCGGTTCCACTAGTCACCAAAAGCACCGAACTCCGGCAGCTTACGTTTTTTGCACACGAAATGCAAATTTTTTTAAACGAATTTTCGTCTTTTTAGTCGAGATGGTCTTCACTCTCCGCTTGGTGATTTCTAAGTTGCTGTTTGTTTGTTAGGTATCTAGCTTACGAAACAAAGCCGGCTGCTTCGGAATGGCTATATGAAATACATCCGATGATCTTTTCTGGTGCTTTAAACCGTAGTAATTAATCCTACTCGGGAGATGGAGAAGGCTTTTGCTACGGGAAACAGCCGTGCCGTATGTCAACTGATACGATCGACTGGCCCTAGGAAAGCAACAGTCAGCGAAACGATAAGTGAAAAAGATGGTTCATTAATTCACTCGCAAAAACGTCGACTGGAGAGATGGGCCGAACACTTCGAAGAGCAGTTCAGCTGGCCTCCTGCAACACAGCCGGTGGAGATAGCGCATACGGGCGAATGGAATGTAAACCTTGATCGCCCTTCGGAAGAAGAAATAAGGTACGAAGTAGCCGCACTGAAACGTGAGAAGGCACCAGGACCGGACGGTCTGTATCCAGCCCTCTTCAAAGAAGGCGGAAATTCCCTGGTGACCCACTTGACAAAACTTATTGGTACTATATGGGACGAAGAGAAAGTGCCTGCAGAATGGGGCATGTCGATAGTTATCCCTATCTTCAAAAAGGTTACACGGACGCTATGCAAAAACCGCCGTGGCATCAGTCTGTTAGCTGTGGCATCGAAGGTGCTCTCTGGCCTTATCCGTCGAAGGTTGACTGAACACAGGGAGAGGCAGATCTGTAAAAACCAAGCTGGGTTCCGTCCTGCAAGAGGTTGTATCGATCATATCTTCACCCTACAACAGATTCTGGAACAGCGACACTGCTTCCAGCAACCAACAATGGTTGTTTTTCTTGATCTGAAAGCTGCCTTTGACTCTGTGGACCGCCAAGCACTATGGCAGTGTCTGTGGAGCAAAGGTGTCCCCCATAAATTCTTGAACCTCATTAAGGCGCTGTACGCCAACTCCCGCGGCCGTGTAAAGGTCTACGGGAAGCTCTCTCCTGAGTTCATCACATCAAGTGGTGTCCGACAGGGTTGTCCTCTTTCACCTTTCCTCTTTAACTTCGTCATTGATACGATCATGGAAGACTCACTACCAGCCTCTAATGCCTGTGGGGTCGAAGTGCTCCCTGGGCCTCCGCTCACAGACATCGAGTACGCAGACGACATAGCTCTTCTAGGATCTGACCCCGTGGCATTGCAAACAATACTAAATAATCTAAATAATTCTGCCTCGCGGTTTGGTATGCGCTTCACACCTGCAAAGTGTAAAGTGCTACTGCAAGACTGGGTGGGCTCGAACCCTAGCCTCATGCTTGCGGATGAACCGATTGAGGTAGTAGACAAATTTGTCTACCTGGGCAGCTGTATCAGTCCCGGTGGTCTCGCGAAAGATGATATTTCCATCCGGATTGGGAAGGCCAGAGCAGCTTTTGCGAACCTACGTCACCTGTGGCGTAGGCGTGACATCAGCTTCTCTGTCAAGGGTCGAGTTTACAATGCTGCGGTGCGCTCCATATTACTATATGGATCAGAAACCTGGCCGCTGCGCGCCGAGGACGTCAAAAGACTTTCAGTGTTTGACCATCGATGTCTTCGGAGCATTGCCCGAATCTGGTGGGAACACCGGATCAGCAATTCTGAAGTACGTCGAATGGTATTCGGGAGAAATAACTCACCCTCGATAGATGAACTGATCACACTGCACAGGTTGCGTTGGCTTGGCCACGTGCTGCGTATGCCAGTCGACCGACTTCCTCGAAGGGCTCTTTTCGCCCAACCATGTGAAGGGTGGAAGAGAGCCAGAGGCGGTCAAACAATGACTTGGCAGCGAAGTATGAAAGCCACTACCAGCAAACTCAGCTGCGCTGGTCACTGCCGTCTTCCTGGATGGGGACCCCGAGACGGGCCACATCAATGGCCAGGGACATTATCAGACATGGCCCAGTCGCGCCCTCAATGGCGCTCATGCATCAATGCATAGCTCCTTTTCCACCCCCCCGCTTGACACCCCACTGACAGTGCTGGATTTATGCACCAATTTACCAGCTCGCGCGTGCAATGCGCAGCTACCTACCCCCTCCCCCAAATCATCGGTGAACGAAACTGTGGCAGCTACAACCAATGTACGACCAGTACACGGTTCAGCTGGCTGACAATGATGATGATGATGATGAAACCATGAGGTAGAATTGCTTAGGTCATTTAGGATTGTTTGCATTAACCAAGAATACATCGTCTCATGAGGTAGAATTGCTTAGGTCATTTAGGATTGTTTGCATTAACCAAGAAGAGCTACATCGTCTGCGCAGCTGATATTTGCACGCGAACGCCACGGGAACATTTCGGCCCGGAAGGTATTGAGGGTTCGGGACTGAGCCTTTCATGACCAAACCGATGGCGAAGTTGGAAAGAGAAAAGATGAAATGGGATACCCTAGCCTGACATTATTAGATGTAGTGAATTTAGGCGAGAGCTCACCATCGACCTCCAAGCGTCATGGAAAGTTTCCCTACAGTGCTTTACAGAAAGCCAGGGACCTATGGGGAAACCTTCGCTCCATTGACACTACCATGGTGCCCGACGGCCCGCACAGTCAAAGACAGCTTTCAAGTCAAGAAATACCATCGTTGTTGGGTGCATGAAGCAGGTCATTGCTCCAGAATCCAGCTTGTCTCCGTACTTGTTCAGCCAATCTTCGAAGGATGAAGCTAGAGAACACCTTCGAAACCACAACCACCAGGATAATGCCACGACGGTCCTCACACAGCTCACGTACCTTTTTGAAGAGGGATGTCCGTTGATATGCCCTATCCTGTGCACATTTGCTTTTCACTTCATATGGCAGCAGTAATTTCTGTCAGGTTATTAACTAGAGATTCTTCGGCGTCTTAGAAGAAGGCTGGATTCAGAGAGATTGGTCCTCGTATCTTCTCATGTTTTAGGAAGGACAGTTTGTACTTTAACTCCGCTCCTAAAAAAACCCCATTAAGTTAGAGGAATTAAGGAGTGTAATCTATCACCGTGTGCGCTGTCTCGAGAGACTGTGTACCAAGAAGCCCGCTCAGGTGTTTGGCACATCTTTCCAATCGGCGTCGTCTTTTCCCTTAACGCTTCACTGACTGTTGCTTTCTTTTGACTACTCGATCTTATTAATTGCTATACAGCACGGCTGTTTCCGTATTCTTCTTCATCTGATACTTCATTGTCCATCAGAGCTCACGGCCTGTCCTTAGACTCACCACTATTTGGGACTTAGGGGATTTGCGTACGTAGTTGCACTCGCTGGCTGCTGGTACGGACTTCCTAGCATTAAACAGAACTGGCGATCTCGACTATATCCAGTGGACATCTGATCGTATAGAAGTCGAACAGACAGTTCTGAACGCCGCTAGCATAGCCACTTTTACACTTTTGTGCTTCATTCATGTGCTCGTTACCAGTACAGTATTGGTTTACTGCAGTGGTTGAGCCAGTTCAGATCGGTATGCTGAACAACGAGAGTTCTCCGGAGATGGATGGTTGGGATTCATATTGCTGACCGTCTGATTGGAAACATTGTGCCAGTCCGAAACGCATCTGGATTTTAAGCCAAAAGTTTGACTGTATAATGGATGGATCAGACTGAACAAATAATATACCACAGACGAGTGAGTAATTGATATCCGTGACAACCTTTGCTTTGCGATTCTAAGATATCTCTTCAGCGTGACTGAAGGATAAGCGGTGATATATCTTGTCTAAGTCACTCCTGATCGGATACAGGAATCTATGGGTGTATATTATGATAAGGACAAACAGGCGGATATATCAAATGAAATAATAGAGGAAAATTTGCCAAGCACAGCCAGATCAACCTATGCTGTGTGTGCGCCGCACAATTTGTTCAACCGTTCTAGGAATCACCAGTAGAATGTACCTTCCGAACAGAAAGCCTGTGAAAAAAGGGGTACAAAAAATCAGACAACTGCAGCGCCGGCTAGCCAGCGTAAATCGAGGTTGGCGAAGCTCCTCTGGCGAAATGGTCACCAGTGAACTGAACCATGATCATACTAGAATTCCCGATCGGGGTTAGACAACAGGAGTGATATTCAACCCTTGAAAGTTCTACGATTCACAACTCTTCCTCTGGTATACCAGTTTTTACTCGACTAAACTGTATTCCTTGATCTTCAGTCAATACGATTTCCGGGTTTGAGCTTCTTTGACAACATCCCTAGCCCCCTCACTTCAAACTGACTGCCATCAATGTCTTGAGGAACAATAGTTTTCTCCTCTGCTACAGCAAACATTTCCCTTCAACCACGAATGCTTGTTACCTAGAAACTTCAAGTTCATTCTAACTTAGAATACTGTTGCCACATGAACACAGTGGAGCCCATTCCACCCATTATTTAACATGGAACCAAATTTAAATGATCCATCTTATTGTCAGCCGATCGTTTGCCGACAACCTACACCATCTTCCATCGCAACTGTTTACGACGAACGTTCTCCCTAGCTGGTGTTAGCCGTACACTTCCAACTTTCCAGAAGTTCCACATGTCTTTGTTCTTCTAGCCAAGTGGTAACTGCGCTGAGGCGGCATTCTTCTTTCTTGGTCTATTCTTTGAATTGTGCTTCGGATAAGCTTTATTCCGATAAGCTTTATTTTTTGAGATTCGAGTTAACAGACTTATGTGAATATGGTAAACGTTCTAAAAAATGCCTAACGTTTAACTGGCTACGGTGATATCGACCTTTTTTTATAGTGTTCGTCATGCAACAGAAAGCTCAGTAACATTGTTACGAAGACGAAGTGATGGCTAATATCCTTAATAATTCTACTGTCTTTTTAATCTCGAATGTAGTCAGTCTAAACCACAACCAAGCTCTGAAAGAACGTACATGACTCAGTGAGAAGACCAGCGAACTCGAACACTGAGAAGCAAGTCGGGTGGCGGTTAAAACAAGGTATGAAAGAAACGTTTTGAGCCCAGGTGTGTAACCTGGCTGGAAACATAACATTCAGCGCTTCATTAACAGTGGGAAATCAAATACCTGTCTCCATATCTGTAGTGACTGCCGCAGTCAACCCCACACCGGACGATCCTCGGCCAGTTGTTGCGATCGCCCTATGAGCCACATGGAGCACAAATCTGAGAAACTGGGACTTAGCGACAGAAGGATCTCCCATGAGCAACAGATTAATATCACCTCTGATGCGGGACCCGTTGGTGAGTTGCCGTTCAACACCACCGAGAAGGAGTAAAAGGATCGCCTTTTTGATATGATCATGGCCGTGAATAGATGGGGCAACCGATCGGGTCAACAGGGATACTACATCCTAAATGAATGGGAATAAGGATAAGTAGTGCGAATAAGAGAAATCATCCAGAGGTGGAAGAAATGGCTAAAAAAGGATCACCTGCCACTTAACTGAACAGTAAATAGGGCAAAGAGAAGTGCAAACGGACAACGGAAGACTGGGGAGGTGGAATGAGCAGGCAACACACCCCACAATGGGAGTGCTCCTAACAGGCCGTGTTTTCTAAGAAACAAGTATCTAGACGATGACAGTCCGCGATAAGTCTGCAAAGTCTTCGTCGGCGATCTTCGGATCGCTCCAGAAACTCATCTGTATGGTGTGATGCGAGATATTCCCGGCGAACCGGTGTGTCTTCACTATTCCAATTAAATCGCTTAGGAATGAACATGTTTGCTGGCTCAGACGCATGTCCGGAGTGTTAGCGCGTCTGCCTCGTCTGATATCCGGGAATATGCACTACTGATAATTCCTAATAACAGTAAAACTCGAGTCCAGTGCTTCACTGCTTCGGACTAACCAGGATAATGGCGCTATGATAGAGGAATTTTCGAACAATGTGAATATAAAAATACTCTATGCAACCAAAAGGATGATAAAACAGCACGTAAAAGCTGCCAGGTTGTCAGCAAAAGATTTTTCCACCACCGCGCAGCTTGAGAAACGTGAGTATCATTTCGAACTAAACGATTATGTTTCCGTTCAGAAACAGGTGGTGTTAACAATTGATACAAGTTCCAGAAACCAAACACTGGTAGTCATCTCGAGTATCGCACAGCACCTGCCTGAGTTAACAGAGATCACCAATTATTTTTGAAAACTGATGGCATGCCGAATCTTATCAGGACCTGGTTCCCTAAGTACGAAAGCCTATAACGAAGCCCACGGGGCAAAGATGACTTTACCTTGGACGCTAGTGGTCGACAGCCTGCTTAATTGTACAATCAACCAGACAACAACGCACACCCTCAAGGGTTTTCCTGTCATCATCATCATCGACAGCATGACGTCAGTGTTCAACAGTGATGCTTCACTGCCGTACAACCATGATTTATCTGAAAGCCTTAGTGTAAAGAAGAGTAAAGGTGGACGGGGAAGGGACTTAGTGCTAACTTACCACAATCATTCCGAGGTGCCTACACCTCCAGACATTCACTCAGGCAATCTGGATAGAAACTGACAACAAGAACGCCACTGACATCGGTTGGCAGCCATATCTTGTAGTGTCTCCAACCAGGCACAGTGAGGATCACGCGGTCCCCATCCTGGAAGGCGAGTAGCACCGACAGCACCCAAGCGTTTCGTGATCTCCTTCATACTCCTCCGCCAAGTCAAGGGTTGGCCACCTCTCTGTTTACGCCACTCTGAGTTGGGCATGGAAAACAGTACTCTCTTCGGCAAACGATGGTTCGGCATACATAACACATGTCCCAACCAACGCAGCTTTTGGTGCTGGACACATTCTTCAATGGAAGTACCCATTGCACAACCGAAAACGCGCTTTCTAACTGCCTCGTTACGGTTTTCCTGAGATACTATCGATCCACAATTCGCAGGTATTGACTTGACCGATGATATTGCTCCGTGACGAATAGACTAAACCTTACAGTGGTGTGACGGTTTGCGCATTTTCATAACCCATCGAACCATGCTATGGAGTGCACGCGTGATACTCACAGAGCTTCTTACACGAGATCGGATAGTGGGTGAAAATTTGACTGATACAGCCTCCTGGTCATCCAGGTTTGGCTTTGCAACATGTGCAAACTTGCTCCTGAAAAAAATGTAGGCCGCTGTCAGTATTACGCCAATCACAGCTGTCCAGCGATTAGGCTTTTGAGCAAAAGGGCTGTACAAATCGGCAGTACCTCAGCCCATGTACATCTACGAATCACACAATTACGAATGACCCGATGACATATCTCCCGTCGCGTGGTGCCACCAAACAGGTCACTTTGCTGCATACAGCAGGGCTGGAAAGTGAAGACGGCCTAGTGCAGACGCCTCCTATCTTTCCCTTCACACATTCGTCCAACCCACCTTCTTACCCAGTTGCCAGTGCCATCTCCGAATGTTTATTATTAGCTGCAATAACTCAGCCGCCACGGCGGTAGACACCCCAAAATCATCCTTCAAATCTCAGCTTATCTGACAGCCTATAGGGTTCGCACTCAGGAACAAGTTGGATAGAAGATCGCTCTTGCATCTGTGCTGGATTCGCTTTTTATTGGTCTCCTGTGCCTCTGGAACGAGGATGCAGATTCGAATACGAATGGAGAACTGGCCCCCATTGTTCTTTTTAATCTCGATTCCGGTTGAACATCTGATGATTCAGAAACCGTTGCTGCTGGTCAAGCGTGTCAAGGAAAACACATCATCATCGACAGCATGACATCAGTGTTCAACACCGATGCTTCACTGCCGTACAACCATGATTTATTT